TTTTATTATTAATGTAACTGTGATAAGCAATCTTTTTTAATGTGTGTATAGGTGTTTGGCCTGACCACATGTCGGTGCACCACACACATGCAGTGCCACAGAGGCCAGAAAAGGACATCTGATCCTCTGGAACTAGAAGTACAGTCGGTTGTGAGCTGCCATGTGGGTGCTGAGAATCAGACCCGGGTCCTCGAAGAACAGCCAGCGCTCTTAACCACTGAGGTGTTTATCCAGCAATCTTCGTAAAATGCTCTTAAGGGGCGAGTACAGCTCAGTGGATGGGTACATGCCTAGTCGACACAAGGCCCTAGATCCTATTCCCAGTACCACCAAATGAATAAAATGCTTTGAGCTGTCTAATTTCCTTTTGAATCTGCCTTTGATTTTGCCCCATGGAGACAAAAGGATGGATGTATCCAACTTTTTTTTTTTTTTTTGTTTTTGGTTTTTCGAGACAGGGTTTCTCTGTGTAGTTTTGGTGTCTGTCCTAGATCTCGCTCTGTAAACCAGGCTGGCCTCGAACTCACAGAGATTTGCCTAGCTCTGCTTCCCAAGTGCTGGGATTAAAGGCAGGCACCACCACCACCACCACCACCACCACCACCACCACCACCACCACACCCACCCACCCCCTAACCCCCCACCCCCGCCTAACTTTTTTTTTTTTTAAGAGAGCCCTTTAAATAGTTGATAATCACAGGGTGGTGGTGGCACATGCCTTTAATCCCAGCACTCAGGAGGCAGAGGCAGGTGGATCTCTGTGAGTACGAGGCCAGCCTGGTCTCCAACGTGAGTTCCAGGAAAGGCGCAAAGCTACACAGAGAAACCCTGTCTCGAAAAACAAAAAACAAACAAACAAAAAAACAACCCCGAGCCAGTGAAGTAGCCCAGTGGGTAAAGATGCTTGAATAACCCTGGCCATTTGAGTTCAATTCCTGGGCCCCAGGAGGTGAAGAGAGAGAACTAAGTCCTGCAAGTTGTCTTCTGACCACAGCAGGAGTGCCCTGGCATGAGTGTGCTCACACATAAACGCATACATACGCACACAAAATAAATTAAAATGTAATTTAAGCCATTTGGTGGTGCCTCATGCCTTTAATCCCAGTACTCAGGAGGCACAGGCAAGCAGACCTCTGTGAGTTTGAGGCCAGCTTGGTCTACAGAGTGAGTTCCAGGACAGGCTCCAAAGCAATACAGAGAAACCCTGTTTCGAAAAAAAAAATATGTAGTTAGAAAAAAACTAACTAATTGGGAAAAGGAAAACCTTTAGAATCTAGATCCAGGAAAGAGCTACACCCCCAAGGCATGATCCATAAAGGGAAACATTAATAAACTTTACTTGATTAAAATTAAAAGCCTTTGTTTTGCAATAGACTTTGTACAGAAGACTAAGAAACAGTTGTAGCTATGGACTGGGAGAAAATGCCTCCAACCTACAGAGCCAATGAAAGGGCTAGAATCTAAACATACAGAATGAAAACTCTGTAGGAAAAAAACCAATAGCATTAGGAGATGGGGGCTGGGGAGAAGGCTCAGGGATTAAGAGCACAGGCTGTTCTGCCAGAGGACCAGAGTGCAGCTCCCAGCACCCACATCAGATGCTGGGAGCCGTAGAAATGGGAAGGAGGAATTCAGCTGACTAGGGCAAAAGCCAATACCTGGAAGAACCCAGGGACTTACAGAGTTAAAGCCAAGGCTCAAGGAGTCTTGGTGACATTGTCTCTTGAATATTAAGCCATTTTCCTGCTATGAATTTCTCATGTGCTATTGCAGCATATTGATCATTCTTTGGGCATAGTTTTTCCACATGCAATTAAGGTATTTGGATAACAGTCACACAGGCAAGGTTTCCTTCTTCCAGGGTCTCCCCTACCCCCGAGACAGAGTTTCTCTGTATAGTTTTGGTGCCTGTCCTGGATCTCACTCTGTAGACCAGGCTGGCCTCGAACTCACATACATCCACCTGGCTCTGCCTCCCAAGTGCTGGGATTAAAGGTGTGCGCTGGCGCTGCCACCGCCGCCGCCACCACCACCACCACCACCAGCTCTTCCAGGCTTTTTGTTTCTCTTCTTTAGCATTAGAATCTGCAGGATGAACAGTTAGGTGAACTGTGCTTGCTGAGCAGAAGCCATAGAATGTTACTCAGCCATAAAAAAGCACAAATTGTGTTACCTGTAACCGCCTGGATGAAACTCCAAGAATAACGTTCAGTGAAAAAGTTCACCCAGAAGTTTGGGTGTGGTAACCACACACCTATAATCCCACCAATTAGAAAGCAGAGGCAGGAGGATTATGGATGAGTTTGAAGCCAACCTAGTCTACATAGGAAGTTCCAGGTCAGCCAGAGTGGCATAGCCAAACCTTGATAGAAAAAAAGTCCATCACAAAGCTCCTATACTATAGGATTCCATTGATATAATATTCTTGAAATGACACAATTGTAGTCATGGCTGCCAAGGGATGAGGCGTTGTGGATAGGACCGGAGGGAAATTGAGGTAGACAGACAAAAGTAAAATTGGATGGTCCCTGTGGCTTATTGGTGGGAGTCAGAGAATTCGTGGAAGCGTCTCAAGGAGAGATGGGCTTGGTGCCTGAGAGATGGCTCAGCCATGAAGAGCACTCAGGATGCTCACAACTGCCTGTAACTACAGCTGGAGGGGATCCGATGCCCTCTTCTGCCTCTTTGGGCACCTGCACACACACACACACACACACACACACACACACACACACACACACACACACACACACAAAGAAAGAAAGGAAACCTGGAGAGTGTAGGGAAGCCAGGAAGCACTTAGGAATGCTGAGTCAGCAGGACTGTGAGTTTGAGGCCACCTGAGGCTACAACAGGGGTGGTGTGTGTGTGTGTGTGTGTGTGTGTGTGTGTGTGTGTGTGTGTGTGTGTGTAGAAGCCATATTTGACATCCGGTGGTGTGTGTGTGTGTGTGTGTGTGTGTGTGTGTGTGTGTGTGTGTGTGTGTGTGTGTGTGTAGAAGCCATATTTGACATCCGGAAGCGCTTTAGGAAAGAAGAGCAAAGGCTGAAAGCAGAGGAGATGGGAACTTCATTGAGTGAGAGTCCTCCCGGGGCTGCAGGGAGGGGGACAGGACCCAGCTGGGGAGGACATGAGCAGCCCTGTGTTTGGTGAAGCCTGAGGACGGGAAGGTGGCAGCAGGGGGCACCAGGCTTCTCTGGTGATCCTCACCACTGCCTTCTGGTGGCCCCACCCCCACAGGAAGACGTTCCCCAGCTCGAGGGACCCTGTGTCTGACTTAGTCCTGATACTCTGGTTTTGGGGGTGTGCGTCCAGCTCCACACATCTAGGCAAGCACTCTTTCCCCGAGCTACGCCCCCACCCCCAGAGAGAGCCTTTGCACTATCCTGCAGAGAGGAGCCAGGGCAGGAAGGGATTATCATCATTAGGAAGGAATCATCCCTGCGGGCGGGTAGGTGTAGTCTGGGCCTAAAATGTTGACTCTTCAGAGCCTCTTCCTGAGACCAGCAGACACCTTCCGTGTGTGTGTGTGTGTGTGTGTGTGTGTGTGTGTGTGTGTGTGTGTGTGTGTGTGTGTGTTCTACTGTATTTAATTGGGATCAGGAGTACGGACAGGAGGTTATTTACTTGAGCAAGTGAGGTATACTCTTGCCCTCTGTTTAAACCTAAACCTCATGCCAGCACCCCGACAGAGGGGGTCACTAGGCCTCTTTATTTGTGTCTCTTCTCAAGGCAGCCACCCTGGGAAACCTTTCTCTGTGTTTCCCTATTACTTCTATTTTGTTTCTTATTTTTAATTATTATTATTATTTTTTTTTACTTACAGCAAGGAGTTGGTGGCGCACGCCTTTAATCCCAGCACTCAGGAGGCAGAGGCAGGCGAATCTCTGTGAGTTCAAGGCCAGCCTGGGCTACAGAGTGAGTTCCAGGACAGCCAGGGCTACACAGAGAAACCCTGTCTTGAAAAACAAAACAAAACAAAATAAATTTTTTTTTTTACTTTATGTGTTCATGTGTTTTGCATATATATGTATGTATGTATGTACACCTTGAGCATGCCTGGTACCCACAGAGCCAGAAGAGGACCTTTGATCCCCTAGAACTGGGTGGTTGTGAGCCACCATATGGGTGCTGGAATCTACCTCAGGTCCTCTGGAAGGGCAGCCAGAGCTTTTACCCACTGAGCCAGCTCTGTGGCTTTTCACTTATTTTTTTCATTGGCATATTGAGGCGGGTAGCCATGTGCACCTCGTTATGGCTGCCAGGGCCCAGGCTTACATGGTAAAATCTCCGGTAACAAGATTGCCATCATTTGTGGGCTATTTTGTTTGTTTATTTGATTTGTTTCTTTGAGACACGGTTTCTTTGTGTATAGCCCTGGCTGTCCTGGAACTCACTCTGTAGACCAGGCTGGCCTCGAACTCACAGAGATCTGCCTGCCTCCGGAGTGATGGGATTGAAGTCTTGAACCACCACGCCCTGCTCATTTGTTGGCTTCTAAAGCAGACTAAGTTTGCGGTTTTCATTGCCTTCTGTGTGATTTGCCATCGGACATTCATGTGTGAATATAATTTACTTTCACTGCAAACGCCTTATTACAGTTTACAGGAAAGGACCACAGCCTCTTGCTTCCCATTCTGTTCCCTGGCACACAGCAGGCAGTCGGGAATGAGTTTCTGGATGGAAGAGTGAGGTACCTTCAGGACATGGGGGCAAGCAAAGTTGTCAAAGGTCAAAATCCTACAAGCAGGGAACACCCACTGTTGACTTTTAGCTTCCAGATCACCCGAGGATGGGATGGGGATTTGTCTGCCTGGAGACAACTGAGAAACTAGCTTTATGCCACAGGGAGATGCCCAAGGCAGAGGAAGCAGGAAGTGAGTGTTCGTATGACTGGTAATGATGCCTATAAATGGAACAGAGAACATACTCTGGCCACTTGACATCAAAGCAGGTCCTTGGCAGCTCGGGTGGGGACCTATGCGTGGTTTGATAACTCACTTCTTCCTCAGATGAACTTGCCAGAAAGTTGACTTCAGTCGTGTTCTCCCAAGATGCAGAATGAGGTCGGAAGAGTAAACAGATGCAGTCAGTGAATCCTCAGACTGCCGGAATACAGCACCCAACTGTGCAGGCTGTGTTCTGCAGAACGGAGATGACAGGCATGTGAAGACCCCTCTCCCCATCCCCTCTCTACCCCTGGCTCCAGAACACAGTTCCGATACATGGCTCTGCAGGCCAACGACGTAAAGCGGAGCAGGAGCAGGTCACTATCTCTTTCCGGGCTCTGCATATCCCCAGGGCTGCCCTGGCTTTGGAGTTTTGTATCAGTGTCCCAGATGGTTCCTGACCCCAAGAACCTCAGGATCTCAGGGGGACATCAAAGAGGGACAGCTAATTAAAATGTAAGAAGTGGGCAGAAAAAGACGGTTCCCTGAGAGCTTAGAGAAGGCTGCCGGGAGAGGAGAGGTCTGCGGGGGGTGGGGGGGTGGGGGTGGTGACGAAGGCACTGAGGAGCAGACAGAAGATGGCGAGGCTTAGAATGCTGGGGGAGAGGAGATTGGAACGAACCCTACCAGGAAACAGCCAGGGCCACGGCCTGGAGGTGACAGAATATGATCCCCAGGGGACCCAAAATAGTTCAGTGTAGCTGGACCACACAGTGGCAACAGGTTAGGCAGGAGCCATCGGCTACAGGAAGCTTTGCGAAAGCCAAGTTCAAGACAGGCTTGGCATAGTCTGGGTGGCCCCAGGCCTCAGGTCTAATATAGCCAGGGCTCTCTAGTTTCTCCAAAACAAAGGAGTTCTTCCTTGCCCTTTTCTGCCAGCCACAGGAAAGGGTTCTGGGCTGTTTGTTTTGAAAACCCTTCCCACGTAGTCTCACCCACTTGGACAGATTAAACATTGATTCATCAGCCAACCAGAAAGGGCCACAGAAAGCACCAGAAACACAAGACTGAGAGTGGGGTAGACTGCCACCAGGCTGTTCAGTGGTAGGATGTGCTGGGCTTCATCTGCAAAAAGCAGGGACAGAAACAAGCAAAAACCGCTTTCTGCTTACTGTAGCTGGGGAAGTAACCATTTAATTCACTCCAAGTTTTTATCTAGGAACATCAGCCTAATTGGCTTTTTGTGGGATGGTTTCTTTTTTAAAAAAATTATTTATTTTATGTGTATGGATGTTTTGCCTGCATGTATTTCTTCTGTGCACTACCTGTGTGCAAGTGCCCACAGAAGTCAGAAGAGGGTGTCAGATCCCTCAGGGCTGGAGTTACAGACAGTCTTGAACCATCACGTGGGTGCTGGGAACTGAAGCCTTGTCCTCTGGAAGAGCAGCCAGTGCTCTTAACTGCCAAGCCGTCTCTCCAGCAACACCCCCCACCCCTTTTTAGTTCTTTTGAGACAGGGATGGCTCATTATGTAGGGATGGCTATTTTTAAATCTAATTTCTCTTCATTGTAGAGTTTTCTATTTCTTTTTGCCGGAGATAAGATCTCTCTGTGTAGCTCTGGCCTGGAACTATGTAGACCAGGCTAGCTTAGAACTCACAGGGTGGTGGTGGCACACGCCTTTAAGCCTTTAATCCCAACACGCGGGAGGGAGCCAGGCGGATCTCTGTGAGTTCGAGCCCAGCCTGGTCGTCTACCGAGCAAGATCCAGGACAGGCACCAAAACTACACAGAGAAACCCTGTCTCGAAAAACCAAAAAAAAAAAAAAAGAACCCACAGGGATCTGTCTGCTTCTGCCTCCTGAGTGCAAGGATTAAAGGCACATGCTATGAGCCCAGGTTAATTTTCACAGATTATGTAAAGTTAGAATGATTTTTATTTCTTTTCTTTTTTTCTTAAATTTCATTTTTTCTTAAGTTAGACATACCGGCACATGCTAGTAAACCCAGCACTTAGGTGGATCAGGAGCTCATGGCCACCTCCCACTATGTAGCACGTCTGAAACCAGCCTGGGCTACATGAGACCCTTTCTCAAAACAAAAACAAACCCCACAACAATAAATAAATAATAGAGTAACACCCCATCCCCGCTTCTCTGCAGCCCTGACTGACGTGGAATTCACTGTGTGGCAGCAATTCCGGCAATCATTGTGATTATGGGCAGGAGCCACCATGCTTGGCTGAAATTGTTTTCTTTAGTCAAAAGTGACTGCGTTTCTTTAGTGTCATATTTCATACTCGCTGTGATCAGGGTCTGTGGCTCTGCCAACTAAACTTGAGACAGTAATTCCTGCCAACTAATAGAGCACACCTATGTCCTGTCCGGCCTCAAGCCCGGCCTCCATCTGCTCTTTTCTCCTCATTCTCCAGCCAGGGGCCTCCAATGTTGACCGCCCCCTTTGGGGCACACACTAGTTCCCTGTGGGTGTGGTCTGCTCTCGGCTTTCTTCACTCTGCTTACACGCCCCCCTACCCCCGCCACCCAGCTCCCCTGCTTTCTCCATCATCAGTCAGGCTGGCTCTCAGTCTTTCTCACCGGGGAGAGTTTCCAGAGTCCCCTCCCTCCTCCCAGCCGGGTTCAGAAGTGTTTCTTCAGGTCCGGTGGTTGTTTGAGCGGCACGTTTATTACAGTGTGTTCCAACCTCGTCCTCCTCTACTTCCGGTTGCTCCTTTGCTCCTCAGTTCTGTGTAGTCCAACAGGCAATCGATCCAACTCTTGGGTCTCAACTTGGTCTGAAATTCAGGGAGTGCCCTGTAGGAGTCCTGGGCTGGGAGACACCCCAGGGCCTCAGTCTGAGCCCGAAGTCTGAGTTCAAGATGGCTTTGGCCAAATCAGTGAAACTCCCAGACCCCACTGCCTCTCATACCGTAGGAACAGCTATGGCTATTTAAAATGCACTACACTAGGGATACCCGGAGGAATGACTCAGTGATTAAGAACTTAGCTGCTCTTGCAGAGGACCTAGGCTCAGTTCCCAGCATCCACATGATAGCTCACAATCATCTGTACTCCAGTTCTAGAGGATCTGATTCCCTCTTTTCACTTCTGTGGGTACTGGGTACACATGTGGTGCACAGACATACACGCAAGCAAAACACTCATATACATAAAAATAAAAAAAGGTTTTTCAGTACCACACCAATTATTGTGATCATGGTTTCTTTTTTTTAAATTTATTTTTATTTTTTGTATTTTTGTATTTTATAATTTAATTTAATTTTACATATCAGCCACGGATTCCCTTGTGTGTCGTTCCCCCCCCCCCTCGTGATCATGTTTTTTTTTTATACACCGTCTTATGTGTCTGTTTCAGGGAAGAATGTAAAATGCTCCAGAAGACTGGAAAGTCATAATTGTCTTAGCACTAGCCATTAAGTACCATTTTGGTAGTGCTATCTCAAAAGGTTACTAGGGACCCTTTCCCTGCTTTCCTTCTCTCGTGGTAAGTGAGGTGGCTCCTTGGATGGAGTTACAACCTAATAAGGCAGAACCGGGAGCCACTAGGGTCGCATGAGGCGTTTGGTATCTGCCCTTTCCCTCTTACCGGCGCAGAAGCTCTTGCTAGGCTGCTGACTAGAAGTGTCACCTGTATTTCTGGCGAGATGCTCTTTTTCCTTTTCATGTTCGCAAGATTTCCACGTCTTTCCGTTCCGTCTCAGAATCAGCAGCCGTGGGATTCGAACTCTAGATCACCTATTTTCCAGGGCACTCTCTCCTCGCCCTTGGCATCTAGCTTAGAGCCTTTGCCTGGGAGGCGTGGCCAAAATCCGAGATCCGGCCTACGCGCCTCGCGGAGCTGGCGGGGCGGGGCTAGCTCTTCTCGGGCTCCGATTGGCCGTCGAGCGAGACGGGGCCCGCGGATTGGCTGCGCGGCGGCCGCCGGCTGACGTGGCGGGGCCGGGACTTGCTGGCTCGTACGGCGGGTGCGGAAACGCCACGGAAAGCGTGCGGGCGCGGGTAGGCATCATGCCGCTGGAGCTGGAGCTGTGTCCCGGGCGCTGGGTGGGTGGGCAGCACCCGTGCTTCATCATCGCGGAGATCGGCCAGAACCACCAGGGCGACCTGGACGTGGCCAAACGCATGATCCGCACGGCCAAGGTGAGGGGCGGGGCCCGCGGAGGGTTAACCTGGGGGATTTGGGAGGAGCCCAGGGGCGAGTTAACGGAGGGGCCTGGGAGAGTTCTCGGAGAGGCTCGGGAAAGCGCGCTCGCGAGACCTTTCTGGTTCTGCGCTCCGTGTCTCCCTTGCCTCGGCTCCCCAGCTCGGGTCTTCCAGGAGCTCTTGCTCGCCCTCTCCGCCTCCCTGCGGACCCGACCTCTTTCTTCCCCCTTCTGGTTAGATCAGCTTCGACCCGTGCCTGGGACCGTCCGTGCGCGCTCCCTACCTGACCAGGATCTTAGGGACCCAGCCCCTTCCTGCTTGTCATATGTCACCTCGGAGATCCTCTCCTGACATTGGTTTCCAAGAACTACAGTCGTTGGAAGTTGCTGTGTCTTTTTTTTTTTTTTTCTTCTCTTTTCTTTTTTCACCCGCCAGTCCGAGTGTTTGAATTGCTAAACGGTGAAAAGTGCATGTCTCTGAGTGCAGATCCTGCTAGGGAACCTCTGTACCCCTCAGCTGCCTGATTTGAAAAGCCGGCTTCGTGGAGTTGTAATGAGCACCGAATGAGGAAAGGAGTGGAAAGCAGGATAGTGGGCACAGAGCTCCTTAGGTGACCACTACTGCCGCTAAAATGCCTGTGAGCATGCGCACCCCCACTTCTCATAGTTAATCTCCACTCTTTTTTCAGTCAGGACTACGAGGATGATTTCTTCCAGCCACTCCCACCCGCAGCCCCCAGCCCTAGAACTCACACGGTTTTGTTTTTAGTCTTCTTGAAACAGGGTCTCTCTCATTCTAACCTGGGCTAGCCTGGGACTTCACCATGTATCCCAGGCTCTCCCTTAGTCCTTCTGCTTCTTTCAAGTGGTGGGATTACATGTGCAAGCCTCCACTTGGGGCGTGTCATACTTTATTTAGACCTTTCTGTGTTATGAATCGGTCTTTGAAGAGAGACTGTAGTGCCCGTCATTTTGACTCTAGCCTTCGACTTTAATAAAGTCTGCCCTGTGATTTCTTACTTCATTTATTTATTTTGGTTTTTTGAGGCAGGGTTTTTCTGTGTAGCTTTGGAGCCTGTCCTGGATCTTGGTCTGTAGACCAGGCTGGCCTCGAACTCACAGAGATCCACCTGGCTCTGCCTCCTGAGTGCTGGGATTAAAGATGTGCGTCACCACTGCCCCACTGGTTTATCATTTTTTTAATTGATTGATTTTTGTTGTTGTTTTTGGAGATAGATCTCTCTCATTCTGTATTGTAGATTGGCTTGGAAATTACTATGTAGATCAGACTAGGCTCAAACTTGTGGCAGTCCTCCTGCCTCAGTCTTCCAAGTTCTGGGATTATAGGCATGGGCCATTACACTCAGCAGTTCCTGGAGCTGGAAAGATGGCTCAGTAAAGAGTGCTGCCTTCTCTTCCAGAGTACCTGAGTTCAATTCCCAACACCCACATGGCCGTTCACTACTGTGTCTAACCCCAGTTCTAGGGGATCTGACACCCTCTTCTCACCTCTGCTTACTCCAGACATGTACATGGTGCACAGACATACATGCAGACAAAACATCACACACATAAAGTAAGTAAATGAATTTTTTTTTAAAAAGAGGTAGCTCCTGCCAATGATTAATGCTGACCACCTAGCTTCATATCATCTGAGATTCAGCTTTGTCTTACCCTGAATCTTGTGAATGTAGTACCATTGAATCACAAAAGGACTAACAAGTTTTAGATTCTTACCGAGATACCGAGCTAAGAGCTTTTAAGTGTCATCTCCTTTAATTTCTACAACAGTCTGCCGTCAGCTTCATTTTGAAAACTTGAAGAAGGCTAATTGTGATGGTGTACGCCTTTGATCCCAGCGCTTGGAAGGCAGAGTCAGGCAGATCTCTGTGATTTCCAGGCTAGCCTGGTCTGCAGAGGAAGGGCTACATAATGAGACCTTGTCTCAAAAACTTAGGATTTCTAATCTTTGCTTCCAGACACAGGTCTCCGGCCTTTGTTCTTAAAGGGGGGAAATTCCTGCTTTTAATTCAGAGGAACAGCCTGTTTTCCCAAGGTGTGACCACCTTGTATGATGAGGTTGTAAAGATACCTAGAGATATAAAAACCATGCAAACAGAGTTATAGTTTTTCTCTCACAGGTTCTGGAGGGCACTGGGGCTGGAGGACACAGTGACAAGGTTGGGAGGTGCTGTAGTGCGAGAGGCCAGGCCTAGAGTCAGGACAGTCACTGGTTCAGTGGTCTTGAGCCGGTGACTTGGCTAGGCCTCCGAATTTTCTTGTTTCTCTCTCTCTCTGTGGTGTTTTAAAGCAGGGGGATTTCTACAATCCCCACATTTTGACTCTGCTGCCATTTGTAGCAGGAGGCACATGTGTAAGTTTAGTCCCTAGGGTTTGGAGTGTCCAAGCTCACTTGCTCACATGATGAATCTGTTGTTCGTTTTATTATATTATAGTGCATTTGCACACGTGTGGGTTGCAGGGGTTGATCTCAGGTCGTCAGACTTGGTGGCCTGAGCGTTTACCTGCTGAGACATTTCACCAGCCCAATAAAGTACATTTTTTTTTTTTTTTTTTTTGGTTTTTCGAGACAGGGTTTCTCTGTGTAGCTTTGCACCTCTCCTGGAACTCACTTGGTAGCCCAGGCTGGCCTCGAACTCACAGAGATCTGCCTGGCTCTGCCTCCCGAGTGCTGGGATTAAAGGCGTGCACTACCACCGCCCGGCTAAAGTACATTTTTAAAAGGACTTTTTATTTTTGTTTTTCTTTCTTTCTTTTCTTGTTAAGACAGGATCAAACTGTGTAGTCCTGGAACTTGTTTTGTAGACCAGACTGGCCTCCAATTCAGAGTTCCACCACCTACTTCTACCTCTGCTTTCTAAATACTTGGGATCAAAGGCACACACTATTATACCTGGTTTAAAGATTTTTTTTTTTTTGGACAAAGTTTCTCTGTGTGGCCCTGACTGTCCTGGAACTCACTCTGTAGACCAGGCTTAAATTCAGAGATCTGCCTGCCTCTGCCTCCTGAGAGATGAGACTAAAGGTGTACACTACCACTGCCCTCTTTTTCTTTTTAAAAAGAACTTTTATCTAAGCCTGTTGTAGTGGCCCACACTTTTAATCCTAGCACTCAGGAAGCAGAGGCAGGAGGATCACTGTATGTTTGAGGCATCTTGGTCTACATAGCAATTTCCAGGCCAGTCCAGGCTATTTAGTGAGAACTTATCCCACTATGCACTTATTTTAAAATATTTTTTTAGCATGTATTTGCATATAGAGGACAGAGGCCAACGCTGGGTGTCTGCTTCAGTTCTTCTCTACCTTTAATTGTGTGTGTCTTTTTTTTTTTTTTGGTTTTTCGAGACAGGGTTTCTCTGTGTAGCTTTGCACCTTTCCTAGAAGTCACTTTGTAGACCAGGCTGGCCTTGAACTCACAGAGATCTGCCTGCCTCTGCCTCCCAAGTGCTGGGATTAAAGGCATGCGCCACCACCGCCCAGCTTGCGCCACCACCGCCCAGTTTTCTGTGTGTGTCTTGAGCACACTTCCAAGAACACTATGTATTTGTGTATATGCCATAGTGCTTGTTTGGAGGTCTGGACACAGCTTTGAGGAATTCTTCTACTGTGTGGGACCGGGGATCGAATTCAGTTTGTCAGGCTTGATGGCAGGCACCTTTATCCAGTGAGTCATTTTACCTGCCCGCCACCTTATTTTGTGACAAGGTTTCTCCCTGAACATATTGCTCATGACTTGGCTAGACTGGCTGGCCAGCAAGCCCCAGGATGGGGCTATAGGCACATGCTACCATGTCTGGCTCTTCTTTACATGGGTGGTGTGGCTTCAACTTAAATCCGCATGACCTCACTTTACCCACTGAGCATCTCTTCGGCCCCAAGTCCATTTTGTCTAAATAGAATGATGTCATATCATTGTCTCCTAGTATTTCTGCTCCAGGTCACTGAAAATGTCCTACTGTGTGTCACAGGAATGTGGGGCTGACTGCGCTAAGTTTCAGAAGAGTGAGTTGGAGTTCAAGTTTAACCGGAAGGCCCTGGAGAGACCATATACTTCGAAGCATTCGTGGGGGTCGACATATGGGGAGCATAAACGGCACCTAGAATTCAGCCACGCCCAGTACAAGGAGCTGCAGCGCTATGCGCAGGAGATTGGCATCTTCTTCACTGCCTCCGGCATGGACGAGGTGAGCTCTCAGCCACCGTGGGGATGCAGGCAGCTGTTGGTGTAAAGCCAGCTCTAGCTCTGCTCACCTCCACTATGTCCACCTAAGTGGAAGCCCACAGGCCGGAGGCCCAGAGGAGGGGTTTTCAGAGAAGGGTACCATAACCTAAAAACAATGCCTCTATATCAGAGCAGCCACACTGGACCCCAGCATCCTTCACACCGTGGGACAGTGAGCAGGGCCAGGCCTTCCCATCTCAATGTGGTTTAGATTGGGAGCCAGTTTGCCTCACAGCCAGCTCTGACTGGCTCCCTGGGGTGCCGTTGGCATCACCCACAGGAAAGTAGCTCAGAGGCTGGCTGTGCTGACATCCTGGAGGAGTTCAGCTGGTACTAGGCCTCAGGTCCATTTTGCACTATAATTTCTCTCTCTCTCTCTCTCTCTCTCTCTTTTAAGATAGGATCTCTTTCTCTCTCTCTCTAGCCCTAGATGTCCTGGAACTTACTCTGTAGATCAGGCTGGTCTTGAATTCAGAGATCTGCCTGCCTCTGCCTCCCGAGTGCTGGGACTAAAGGCATGTGCCACCACTGTCTGGTGTGACTTCTGTCCTTTCATGATCCTATGTTCTCTCTTTTCTGAATGCCAAAAACTTTGGTCTTAGAAAGAAGGCACTGGTACAGAAAGTTTATGTCGTAGGGTTTCTATTCCAGGAGGAGACATCATGACCATGGCAACTCTTATAAAGGAAAACATTTAACTGGGGCTGGCTTACAGTTCAGAGGTTTAGTCCATTGTCATCATGGTGGGAAGCATGGAGACACACAGGCAGACATGGTGTGGAGAGGAGCTGAGAGTTCTATGTCTGGGATCCAAAAGCCACAGGAAGAGACTGAGACACACTTCCTCCAACAAGGCCATGACTCCTAATAGTGCCACTCCCTATGAGCCCATGAGGAGGGCATTTTCTTTCCAGCCACCACAGTTTAGTAAGCGGGAACGAGAGGGAATGGCCTATGATTCCCGTGTGTTGTCTCTGTGGGTTTCCTCTGTGAGTCTTGGAGTGTGTGTTGCTGCTGGTTACTTCCTGGCATGTCCCGTTTGGTTTGCTGCGTTCTTTTTCCAGTTAGTGTGAGCACAGCTTTGATTCCACCGTGCAAAGGCTCTGATAGCACTGCGGTGTTTGTTCTGGAGGATATACTAGAATGCTATTTGTTATTGTTGTTGTTTTGTTTTTTGAGACAGGGTCTCAGTATGGAGCATTGGCTGCTGTGGAACTTACTATATAGACCAGGGTGTCCTCATGATCCTCCAACCCCAGAATCCTGACTGTTGGGATTACAGGTTTTTTTTCCTCCCTCTTTGGTTTTTTTCCAGACAGGGTTTCTCTGTGTAACAACCCTGGAACTCACTTTGTAGATCAGACTGGCCTCGAACTCACAGAGATCTATCTGCCTCTGCCTTCCGAGTGCTGGGATTAAAGCTTGCGCACCACCGCCCGACTATTACTTTTAGTTTTTTTTGTACTGATAAATGATGCTGAACCAGGCTTGGTGGTGCCCACTTGTAACCAGTATTTGGGGATTGGAGGTAGGAGATTTAGTTCAGGCCAGCATCAGCTACAAAGTAAGTTTGAGGCCAGCCTGAGATACATGCGGCTGTCTCAACAAAACAAATGCTGAGGTGAGCATCTTTTCCATGTGTCCTCAGTTGCTCCTTAGAGTTGCCTTCTAGAAATGGGCGTTAGGGTGGACTTTAGAGATGTGCTTCTACTGTCCTGGGGATGGTTTCTCATTGCTTTAGTTAGATTGTTGAAATTGTGTACAAGCATATGTGTGCGCACACACACACACACACACACACACACACACACACACACACACACACACACTGTCTGTCTCTCTGTCTTTCACTCCCTCTTACTATGTAACCCTAGTAGAACCCTCTGTGTAGATGAGGCTGACCTGGCACTCACAGAGAGCCTCCTGCACCTGCCTCTACCTCCGGATGCTGGGGTTGCAGGTGTGCCCTACCACACCTGGTTCATAAAACATACCTCTGTCTTTGTTAGTCTTCCAGACTTCAGAATATGTGTGTAATTGTAAGCATTGGACCTTGTCAAAGGCAGGAAGCCCCATATGGTGGCTTGTGCCTTTCATTCCAGCACTGGTCAGTATAGGTAGGAAGATGGTTGGGAGTTCAAAACCAGGCTGCACTGTATAGTGGGTTTCAGACAGTCAGAGCTACAGTGTGAGGTCCTGTTGTTTTCTCCTTCCATCATGGAAACAACAAACAAAAACCCCAAAAGCAAACAATAAAAAGTAAGCCGACTAAGAGTCCCAGCGCTTGGTGGTCAGCCTCGGGCGGCACAGCCTACAAACCAGAAACAGTAGTGTGCTTTTCTCTGCTGAAGCCTGCCGGGTCACCTCCTGCTGCCGGTGTGGGAAGGCGGTTCCTCTGGCGTTTGCAGCTGGTCTCATGGCTGGGCCGGGCACAGGTAGGGAGGAGAGAGGGCAGCGAGGGGAAATGGGTCCATAAAGTCTTTACAAAGAGTAAATCTTTCTTTGCCAAGCTAGCATTTCCTGCCCAGCCTCCTCAGAGCTGGCTTGGTTGGGTTCTGTCTGTCCTTCCGTGTCCCCCACCCCGTTTCCGAAGCAGGTGGCTCCCGGTGTTCACCTTCCTGACTTCGTCCTGACAGCCGGAGTTTCCCGAGGGCCTCCTTTCTCTGCTCTGCGTGCTGTTCTCGGGTGTCCTCTGTGTGCTCAGGAAAGGTTAAGGAAGGTGTGGCAGAATTTTATGGAGACTGAAAGAGTTCCCAGGACACCTCTCAGAGGGTGCAGAGGTGGACTTCAGCCGAAGACAGCTTAGTGTTGAGGCAGCAAGCGGAATCCATGAGCCTGGGGCCCCTGAAGGGCACCTGCTCAGTGACGGTCACCACAGAGCTGTGGTCACCACAGAGCGACCTTCCCTCCCGCCCGGCCCTGCCCTCTGTCTTCTCCACCTCCTTCCCCCGGCTGCCTGCTGCCTGTGACGGGGCTGGCCTGTGCTTTTTGGTTCTGTGCTCTGTCAACATAAAAACCGTAGCTCTCATCTTAAGTGGAACAAGAGACAGTTTATTCTGGACCCATTCTGAATGATCAGGACTAAGAACACAGATTTAGTTTACCCCAATTCCATGTTCCAACGTGGAAGCAGTTTCCCGGGGTTTTTAGAATTTTACAGAACAAAGACAGTCATAAATCAAAGCAATTTTAAGATGTATTGATGCGTACACCAGAGAGACAGGCATAATGAGATGGGGAGCCGTTCTGTAGGCCCGAGATGCTCTCTGATGGCGTTTAGGTCTTGGGTTGGCAGAATCTGCTGTTCTGCTAAGAGCTTCTAAGAGGTGTTTATTTACTTACTTATTTTTGGTTTTTCAAGACAGGGTTTCTCTCTGTAGCCCTTGCTGTCCTGGAACTCGATCTGTAGACCAGGCTGGCCTTGAACTCACAGAGATCCACCTGCCTCTGCCTCCCGAGTGCTGGGACTAACGGTGTGTGCCACCACTGCCTGGCTGAGGTTTTTATTTATTACCATGAGGTGTTAGTTCAGATATACAGCGGGGTAGGCATGGCTGTTCCAAGGCAAGGCTAAAACTAGCCCAAGGTAAAGTAATTAGTCTCTGAACCTAAAAATTCCAGTCTGTCCACAGCACTGAAATTCCAATTGGTTCATCAGTCTCTGCAGACATAGAAGCTCCTTCCAGGCTTTTTGTTTGTTTGTTTGTTTTGTTGTTGTTTATAGCCAGACACACTTTTTTTAAAGGAATTTTTGTTCACAGCTCCCCAGCATTCACTCACCCCTGCTCTCCTCAGCTCATCACCATGGGCTTCTTTTTTTCTCTCCTGCATGATCCCAGCCAAAGGGGCTTTAGAGAAGTCCCAATTTCCCAATGTGGCTGAGCGTGCCTGGAATCCCAGCACTCAAAGCAGGGATAGGAGGAAGGCAGTTTTGAGGCTAGCCTGGGCTACATATGGTGCTGTTATTTTCAAGAAAGAGAAGTCCTGATCTTCCTTTCTGGACCAGTAGTTTCTCTTAGTGTGCACACAGAAAGGTTCTGTACACCTACTGTCTGTATTTTATTTGTGTGTTTATTTTTGAGGCAAGGTCTTGAACTCACAGAGATCCGCTTGCCTCTGCCTTCCAAGTACTGGGATCAAAGGCGTGTGCCGCCGGGCAGTGGTGGCGCACGCCTTTAATCCCAGCACTCGGGAGGCAGAGCCAGCCTGGGCTACCAAGTGAGTCCCAGGAAAGGCGCAAAGCTACACAGAGAAACCCTGTCTCGAAAAACGGAAAAAAAAAAAAAAACAAAGGCGTGTGCCACCATATCTTACTGTCTGCTTTTACTAAAGTTTAAACGGTTCTGAGTCAGTCAACCAGACATGGGGGTGCATACCTGTAATCCTAGCCCTTGGGAGACTGAGGCAAGAGAATCAAAAGTTAGAGGTCAAGCCAGGCAGTGGTGGTGCATGCCTTTGATCCCAGCACTCAGGGAGGCAGAGCTAGGTGGATCTCTGTGAGTTCGAGGCCAGCCTGGGCTACAGAGTGAGTTCCAGGAAAGGCGCAAAGCTACACAGAGAAACCCTGTCTCGAAAAACCAAAAAAAAAAAAAAAAAAAAAAAAAAAAGTTGGAGGCCAGTGTAGGCTACATAGCAAGTTCCAGGACAGCCTAGAATATGAGCATGTCTCAAAAAGCAAAGAAACACATCCTAAGTCAAACCAGTTTGCTAGACGTAGGTTTGAAATCAGACAGGTTTATCTCCAGGACCCTCCCTCCTGGGAGCCATCGCTGGGCAAAGTTTCCTTGATGCCAGTCCCCTGGGGGTGGCCTGTTCCATGTCCCGAACCCCAGTCGTGTATTGATTGCATTGCTTTAAGGAAAACTGAAAAGAGGAAGTGAGCTATCTGGCTTGAGCCAGGGAAGGATCTAACCGCAGTAGGGCAGGTCAGAAGCCAGCAGGCCTCGGGAAAGAAAGCCACTGTGCTGTGGCCACGCCTGAAGGTCTGCAGGGCCTGAAGCTGGATCTTGAGGTGGCAGGATGATGAACCAAAGTGACAGTTTTCAAAATGGCCACTAGACGGCAGTGATTCTCCAGGTGGGCTGCAAAATGAGGTGCTTGCTCTCTTTCCTCCTAGCAGAAACTCCCCTGCCCCTCCTCATTTAAAAAAAAAAACAAAACACCAGCTTGAAGATGATAGAATTTCATGCAAATTTCACAATCCTCGTGGTTTAAATCTTTGAATGGTTTTTGTTTGTTCGTTGTCTGCACTAGGCCTCCTTAGCTCTGGTTGCTCGGTCCCTCTCCTGAGCCCACACTGCCTGCTCATGCTTCAGAAGGTCAGCGTCCCACTAGTTGAACATTATCTAAACATATTAATTATGTTTAAAAAGGATCATTTTTGTTCTTTTTTTTTTTTAGTCCCATCTCAGGGCTGTTTAGCAGAGTGACATGTGCAGGGAAGAGAGGAAATGTGGATGGGAAAAGAGAAAGAACAAACAAAAAGAACAAACAAAAAAAGGGAAAGAGCAGCCAGAACCGCAGAGACGGTGGGACACTGGGGGTGAGCAGTCCCTGGGTCATGTGACATGGTGTCTTTTCGACTTGAGAGGTTACAGAGAGCCTTGAACTCTTGTGCACGGGCTGACTAGCCACTCTTCTTTTTTGGTGGGGTGCTAATTGTTTTGGGGATTGAACCCAGGGTCTTGCATATGCTAGGCAAGCTTCCCACCCAGAACTCCAGCCCCAGACCCTGACTTAGCACCTCCCACCCTGTGTTATTGAGAACTGAGTCCTGAAGAATAAAGTCGACTTGAGACACATTAAACTGACCTCAGCCATGGTGTTTGGAGAGGTTCCAAACCTTCTAGGAAAGTGGGTGGAGGTCTGTTACAGTGGGTAATTTAAAGGTGTCTTTTATTTTTCAATTTTTAAAAAACATAATGTATTTTTATTTATGTGGTATGGATGTTTTGCTTGCATAAATGTCTGTGTACCATTTGTGTGCCAGGTACCCTCAGAGGCCGGAAGAGGGCATGAGATGCCCTAGAACTGGAGTTACAGATGGTTGTGAACCCCCAAGCAGGTGCCGGGTCCTCTGGAGGAGCAGCCAGCGCTCTTAACCACTGAGCCGTCTCTCCAATCCTTGTTTTCCTTTTTGAGACAGGTTCTTACCATGTCGTCCCATCTAACCTGGAACTTGCTGTGTAGACCACGCTGGTCTACAACTCACAGAGATCCACCCTTAGTTCTCGCTCGTTAACAGAATGTGGGATTTTACTTTTCTGTGTAGTGTGTGTGGTGCTAGGGATCAAACCCGGGGCCTCACACGTGCTAGGGAAGTACTTGGCCATCTCCGTCAGTCCTGAGATTATCCTGGACCCATTTGCTAACACCTTGCAGTTTCTGGAATCTTCCAGATGAACCCCACTTTGCAGTGTTGAGGGTAACTTCACGCCGTGGTGTTGAGTCTGAATGGTGACTGGCTGGCTTTCCTGCGGGCAGCACATGCAGTTTAAGGTCCAAAAGGACCAGCTGATGACCATCAAGGCAAGCTGGGACAGAGGTTGCTCCATTTGCACCCTGGGCAAGGATTCGATTTCTTCTTTCTGTCCTTTGACCTTTGAGGGCCAGTCACTTTCTCTCTGCCTGGGTTCTGGGTCATGCTTAGGTCACAGCCCTTTTGCATCTGTTCACAAGTTCCGGGGGAAGGAAGAGTCTGGCCAGAAGCGATCTTTCCCATGCAGATTCTTGTAGCCTTGGATTGGCCAGCTCATGAAGAGCAAGTCCTGGGTGTGCACTGGACAGATGGGTGGGTGGACATATGATGACCTATTCTCTAGTCTCCTGCACTGGGTTCCTCTAGTACTTACTTGTACCACAAGGGCAGTGTTTCTGAACAATGGTGAAAGATACTCTGATTTTTTTGTAGATGGCGGTTGAGTTTCTGCATGAACTGAATGTTCCATTTTTTAAAGTTGGATCTGGCGACACTAACAATTTTCCTTATCTGGAGAAGACAGCCAAGAAAGGTAAGTGCCTTTTTTCATAAAACCAGAGTCCAAGCTTTGTGTTTCTGCCCCCTAGTGGCCACTCACTGTGATAGCATTCATGGAGACTCATCTGTTTTTGTTTTTTGTTTTATTTTATTTATTTATTTATTTATTTATTTATTTTGAGACAGAGTCTCACTATGTAGTATGACTGTCCTGGAACTTGCTCTGTAGCCAGGCTGGTTTCAGACTCTAGAGATCTGCCTGCCTCTGCCTCCCGGGTGCTACCACACCCAGCTTTGGAGACACATTTTAGAAACCTTCTACCCTTTCATTTTGGGTCAGTGCTAGGGATTGAACCCAGTGTCCTATGCACCTGATGTGAGTATTCCGCCACTGAGCCACATCGCCAGCTAGGGATCTCCTCCCTAATGTCTCCACTTGACACCTGGTAAATGGATTTCCCGACGTGAATGATCTCAGTTGACCCTCATCGCAAACCTGGGGTGGCAGCAGGTCATACCTCTGGGATATTCTGTACTTGTTTCATAGGCAAGGAGTCAGAGCCCTAAGGACAGGGTTCTGTGCCAGCCAGCACCAGAGCTGGTAGCTCCCGGCCTCTCTCAGCTGTGCAGCTGCTTGTCCCTTACCCAGAATGCTTGCGAGCATGAGTGTTCCAGAATTTGGAGTCTTGGATTTGTAGACTAAGAGGAAGCCTGTTCAGTACTGTGCAGCCTCTCGATCTATAGAGACGCCTCTCTTCCCCTCAAGATCAGGGGATCCCCTGGTGTGCTTCCCTTTGCTGAAGCATGCTGCTGAGGAGGTGTTGGTCCCCATCAGTCACTGCGCGGCGTCGTAGGAGGTGTTGGGGGAGTCTGGGCCCTGTGAAGAAGGTGCTGATTCTCCAGGTCGTCCTATGGTGATCTCCAGTGGGATGCAGTCAATGGACACCATGAAGCAGGTCTATCGGCTCGTGAAACCCCTCAACCCCAACTTCTGCTTCCTGCAGTGCACCAGCGCCTACCCGCTGCAGCCGGAGGATGCCAACCTGCGCGTCATCTCGGTGAGCGCGGAGTGACGGTCTTACTGACCCGATTCCTTGTTGTCTGTTCGTTTGCAGTGCTGGGGATTGAACCCAGGGCCGTGGCATGCCAACCATGCCCTAGCCCCAGCCTTTGTTATAACCAAAATTATAACCAACCGTGGCACACTTTGTATCAATTTACAGGTCCTGTCTTAGTGTGACAGAATTAAAGTAGACCCAGGCAGCCAGGGAAATACAGCATTCCAAAGAAGGGGACAGTTATATATTAAAGCATATAACACCGATCTTAGTTTCGTGTGTGTGTGTGTGTGTGTGTGTGTGTGTGTGTGTGTGTGTGTGCGCGCGCGTGCCTCGTGATTTGTCTTCGTATACTTTTTAGTGGTTTTTTTTTTTTTTTTTTAAAGCAAGATCTCACTGATCTGTCTGGCCTATAACTCCCTCTGTAGCCCAGGCTGGCCTCAAACTCAAAGAGATTTGCCTGCTTCTGCCTCCTAAGTGCTGGGATTAAAGGCCTCCATAGATTAACACAATTAATAATTTAGTGTCTTGGACTCCAGGTACTCTCTCTGATTTTCTACTCTCACTGGAAGTCCTACCACATCCTCCATTCTGGACATCGCTACATGGGGAGAGTGACTTTGCCAGCCCACCCAGTCACAGCAGAATTCTTTGGCCTAGTATCCTGTATTCTCTATCTCTTTTTTTTTGGGGGGGGGTGTCTTTTTTGAGAGAGGGTTTCTCTGTGCAACCCTGGTTGTCCTGGAACTCACTCTGTAGACCAGGCTAGTCTTGAACTCATTACTGCCCGCCTCTGCCTCCGGGTGCTGGGCCGGGCACAGATGCAGCCTATACTCTTATCACAGATCTGTAGGTGGGATCTCAGGCTTTAGCCATCCAGCACCCCCCTGTACCCCACCTGCATCTTCCTGCTGGGTTTCAGCTTTCTGGCCCCCATCACTGACCGCACTCACTCCTCTGAGAAGGGCTTTGGTGCATTAGGTGAATTACAGATAATGTTAATTATTCAGCATTCCCCCCAACAGAATGTTTTGGGCCTAGGCTGTGTGTGTGATTGATATTTTTGTGTGTAACACACTTGGTTTCAGCAGTACAAGCTCATTAAATGTGACAAGTGCTTTTGGGGTGAGGTCAGTCATTCTGTTTCAGTTAGGTTGGTATTCTTGGTCTGCACAGGACTAAACAGTCACACGAGGTGTTGGTTTATTCAAATGTTTGGAATTGAGTGTGTGTGTGAATATGCATGTGTGTGTACACACCGTGGTAAGTGTACAGCGGTCAGAAGACAGCCTGTGGGAGCTGTTTCTCTCCTTTCATCGGATGGCTTCCAGGGAGCAACCTCACGTCCTTGGGCTTGATGGCAGATGTAACATGAATCTTAAAAGGTCTTATTAATAAAAACAAACCTGAGCCAGGTATTGGGGTTAAAGCTGAATGATCAGAGAAGCAGAACAAGCCACAGCCACCTCACCTCGCCAGTTCCTCAGCTGATCCTGTTTCCGCAGACTGGAAGCCTCTGGGTCCTCATCCAAATGGATCTCAGCTGAACTGCTGCTCAAAAGCCTAAAAGCTTAACCAGGCTCTAGTTCCTGGTCCTCACGCCTTATATACCTTTCTGCTTTCTGCCATCACTTCCTGGGATTAAAGGAGTGAGTCACCATGCCTGGCTGTTTCCAGTGTGGCTTTGAACTCAGAGATCCAGATGGATCTCTGCCTCCAGAATGCTAGGATTAAAGGTGTGTGTGCCACCATTTTCTGGCCTCTGTGTCTAGTGACTGTTCTGTTCTTTGACCCCAGATAAGTTTATTAGGGTATACAATATATTGGGGGACACAATATCACCACAGGCAGGTGCTTGTCTTCACCCTCTGAGCTGTCTTGATGACCACAGAAGGCATTCTCAATGCCAGCAGTAACTTTTACAGTATGGTGGGTGTCTTAATTAGGGTTTCTATTGCTGCAGCAAAACACCATGACCAAATAACTTGGGGAGGAAAGGGTTCATTCACTCACAGTTCCATATAACAGCTCATCATCAAAAGCAGTGAGGTCAGGAACTCAAACAGGGCAGGAACCTGGAGGCAGGAGCTGATGCAGAGGCCATGGAGCGGTGCTGCTTAGTGGCTTGCTTCTCAGGGCTTGCTCAGTCTGCTTCCTTATAGGACCCAGGGGCACCAGCCCAGAGATGGCACCACCCACAGTGAGCTGGGCCCTCCCCCAATGATCACTAAGTAAGAAAAGGCCCTACAGCCAGATCTTATGGAGGCATTTTCTCAGTTGAGGCTCCTTCCTCTCTGGTGACTCTAGCCTCTGTCAGTTGACATAAAACCAGCCAGTACAGCGGTGTCCTCCCTGTTCCCAGCAACCCTCAATGGCCACTTTTATTCTTCCCACAAAGGGGGGGCTCAGCGTGCCTGCCTTACAGTCTCACCTCTGTCTGCTTTGCTCAGGAGTGGCTGAAATGGGGTGCTGTTCAGATCTCCCTGACTAAGAACATGTGTGAAGCCCCAGAAGGGTAACCACTCCCCTTTTCTATTTTACAGGAATACCAGAAACTCTTTCCCGACATTCCCATAGGGTATTCTGGACATGAGACAGGCATCGCCATATCTGTGGCTGCAGTGGCTCTGGGGGCCAAGGTGTTGGAACGTCACATAACTTTGGACAAAACTTGGAAGGGGAGCGACCACTCAGCTTCGCTGGAGCCTGGCGAACTGGCAGAGCTGGTGCGCTCTGTGCGCCTGGTGGAGCGGGCATTGGGCTCTCCAACCAAGCAGCTGCTGCCCTGTGAGATGGCCTGTAATGAGAAGGTGGGTGCTGCCCGACTCTGCCTAGCCTTGCTGTCCTGAGGCCGGTGTGGCCTCTGAGCCTGTCGGATGAGCAGGTGAAAGAATGTCAACCATCCTTCTGAGCGTCATTAGGCTATGGGAGCAGCGGGGAGTGTGTTACGTAAGAGCAGTTCAGGCTTTTCAGCCACCTCTGGTCACATTAGCTTTTCCACCAAGTCTCTGAAGCCTGTGACCTCAGGGCTCTGAACCCTAGGAGATACAGAGTGAAGTCCTAAGATGGCCAAGCCTGGTCACTTGCAAGCCTGGTCTGAGGCATTAGGAAGAGAGCTTGGGCAGTCCTAAGTACAAGGGGGCATTGTGTGGGGCTGCTGGGCAGTGATGGTGAGGCTGAGGCATGCCTCCCAGATTCCTGGAAGCTGTGGCCTGGACCTTTCTGCCCTTGTGAGTTTAGAGCCAGGAGTCCTAGGAGTTCTAGGTGCAAGACTCCTCCCCTGCAGTTGTATGGGTCGGGGCAGAGGCCAGACACTGGGTATACGTGAGAAATGTTGTCATCTTTCATTCCGAGGGAGACCACCTGCTGCACTGCCCCCCCCCCCACCCCCGCTGGGAAGGTCCCAGGACTTCCTTCTAGGATCTGACACTGACCTTCCTGTGTCCACAGCTGGGCAAGTCTGTGGTGGCCAAAGTGAGAATCCCAGAAGGCACCGTTCTGACCCTGGACATGCTCACTGTGAAGGTGGGGGAGCCCAAAGGCTATCCTCCTGAAGACATCTTCAACCTAGTGGGCAAGAAGGTGCTGGTCACTGTTGAAGAAGATGATACAATCATGGAAGACTCTGTGGAAAGTCACAGCAAGAAAATCAAGTCTTAAAGTGCCACCCCCGGCTTCTCAGCCGCCCTGCTGTGACTGTCTGGTGTGCTGGGTGCAGGGGGCAGGCGTGTTGACCTCCAGGCCTCCCTGTCACAGTGGCCACCTGTGTCCAGCCCATCGGAAAGGAAGAGCCAATGAGGCCATTCTGCTTTGAGGTGTCCAGCCAGAGAAGGCGGCCCAGAGTAAAATTAGCTCCTTTAGGTTTTCTGTGTGGCTCTGCTGTCTTAATCCTTCATGTTCCCACCCTACAAAGCAACTCCAGGAAGCTGAGGTCTTGATTCCTCACAGACAGCTGACTTCCCTCCTACCCCTCCGGGCCTGGGTTCCTCACAGTACTGAACAGTGGTCCCTTTGCATTAGACTGTCTGAGGCCCTGTGGGCAGAGGCAAGCACTCCTGTCTCTGTGAGTAAAGGTTGGGAGGAGCAGTTGATTTCCCTTTGGCAAATCCTCAGGGTATGCTCGGTGTCAGCTACCACCAGAGGCCTAGGGACATGGCTCTAAGCAGCCAGTCCCTTCTCAGAGGGCTTGTCCTCAGATGAGGCAGGTGCACGCTAACCCATGGGACCGCTGGTCAGTGAGGCAGCTGTGAGGAGGGAATGTGAAGCAGGGAAGAACACAGTCTGAATAAGGGGGTGGCACGTGGGGTGTGGAGCTTGCACCTCTTCAGTGTGAAGGGGAATGCAGAAATCATCCCTGCCATAATCACCAGAGTGTCTTGTCACATATGACAGATTACAAACCCAGACACAAAGACTCCATTGTTCAACTTCTTCAAGCTGCATGAACTTTTTATAGAGGTTCATTGTCACATTTCACTTTGTTCTTTGGATCAATGCTGAGATTAATCATTTTGTTCTTTTCAAATATCTTCTCGTCTTCATTTTATTTTTAAAAAAAAACAAAACTTTTTTTTTTTCCCCCCTGAGACAGGATCTCACTCTATATCCCTGGCTGTCCTGGAACTTGCTGTGTAGACCAGACTGGACTCAGACTCCGAGGTCTGCTTGCCTCTGCCTCCTGAGTGCTGAGATTAAAGGTGTGCACTGCCACACGTGACCTGCATTTGTGTGTGTGTGTGCGCGCACGCGCACGCACACGAACTACAAAGAGTGACTTGTGGGACTCGGGTTCTCTCACCACCGTGTTGGTCCCAAGGATCACACTGGAGGCACCAGGCATGGCAGCAGTCTCCTTTACCAGCTGGCCGGTGTCACTGCCCATTAGCGACTCCCACCACCATTTGTGTGTTTGTGTATGTTTTCGGAGGTCAGATGTCCTGCTGTATCACTGTCCACTTGACCGAGACAGCATTAGCTGTGCAGGCCTCTAGCAGGCTCCAGATATCTCTGTCTCTGCCAGGCCAGGCTTTTTACCTGGGTGCTGAGCTCCGAACTCAGGCCCCAGTGCTTGAGCAGCAAGCACCCTTCTCTGTCCAACCATCTTGAGCCCTTTTCACGCCCTTGCTTTTTTTAAAGATTTTTTGTTTTGTTTTCCGAGACAGGGTTTCTCCGTGTAGTTTTGGTGCCTGTCCTGGATCTCGCTCTGTAGCCCAGGCTGGCCTCAAACTCACAGCGATCCACCTGGCTCTGCTTCCCGAGTGCTGGGATTAAAGGCGTGCGCCACCGCCTGGCCTGGTTTGTTTTTCTTTTATGTGTATATGTATATATGTACAATACCAATGGAGGTCAAAAGGGCATCAGATCTCCGTATGAGCTTCTCCACACATGAGAACTGAACCCAGGATTTCTGTAAGAGCAGAAAATGTTCTTAACCAGTCGCTTCTTTTCAAGGTAGGTGTGCGTGTGTGCGTGCGTGTGTGCGTGTGTGCGTGCGTGCGTGTGTGTGTGTGTGTGTGTGTGTTTTGATGTTTCTAGATAGGGTTACTCTGTATAGCTCTGGCTGTCCTAGAACTCACTTTGTGGACCAGGCTGACTTCAAACTCAGAGATCCACCTGACTCTGCTTCCTGAGTGCTGGGATTGAAGTCTTTCACCACCACTCCCCGGCGCTCGTGTGTGTGTGTGTGTGTGTGTGTGTGTGTTTTGCTTGCACATATGTCTGTGAGGGTCTTGGATCTCCTGGAACTAGAGTTACAGTTGTGAGCTGCCATGTGACTGCTGGAAATTGAACCCAGGTCCTCTGAAAGAATAGTGAGTTCTTTCACTGTTAAGAGATGGCTCCTGGGTTGGGGATTTAGCTCAGTGGTAGAGTGCTTGCCTAGCAAGCACAAGGCCCTAGGTTCGATCCTCAGCTCAAAAAAAAAAAAAAAAAAGAGATGGTTCTTAACCTCTGAGCCATCTCTCCAGTCCCCTTTTCAAGTTCTTAATCTTTGTGTTCATACTTACTTGACCTTATTTTTTTAAGGTGTGTGTGTGCGCGTGCCACGCGCCCACAGAGGCCACGGGTGTTGGATCCCCTGGAGCTGGAGTCATAAGCAGTGAACTGCCTGATATGGGTGCTGGGTCCCAAACTTGAGTTATCTGCAACATCCTCTCCAGGCCCAATCTAATGTTATTTACTGTATCATTCCTATTTGAAAGTGTATATTCAAGTCTCTTCTCAGTGCACAGTTATCCCTGAGAGGTTTATTTGTGAATTAGGACTTCCCTTCTCTTGGAACCTAGAATAACTTCAGGGGTGGTGGGAGTGAGGGGTATTCTGGTTTGAGCTGGACTGGTACCTAGGCACATTCCCAGCCTACTCACAGTTGGAGAACTTTGGAAGTTTGGAAGACACGCCTAAGCACTTGGAGGTGGGCTTTGCAGTGCTGGCCCATGACACTTCCACAGACAGGGTCCACTGAGCTGACCTTCACTGTAGAGCGGTGGGGCACTGACCTGCAAAGTCTCCCAGGAGTTACGGCTAGTTTAGCCTTGTAGATTGAGCAGTGGCTGAGGGATGCACTGTGCAGGCTTGGGCACTGCCCGGAAGCTGGAAGGTGTTAGGAGCGGCATGTGGGGAAGGAGGGCTCAGTGGTGAGCCAAGGATTCAGTTGCTCTTTTCTACATTTGTGTGTATGGTCTTGCCTGCATGTGTGTCTGTGCATCACACGTGTGTCTGGTGCCACCAGGACCCAGAGGGCAGTGCTCAGTCTCGTGGAATGGATACAGACGTGAGCCGCCATGTGCTTGGTGGAAACTGAATTTGGGTCCTCTGCGAGAGCAGCCAGCCAGCACTCTTAACCACTGAGACACCCCTCCAGCCTCTACATTTTGTGTGTACATGTATGGGTGGTGTGCACTCTGTAGAGGTCAGAGGACAGGTTTTAGGAGTTGCTTCCCTCCTTCCACCACATGGACCCTGGGGGTTGAATTCAGGTTGCCGGGCTTGGAGGCAAGCACCTTGACCTGCTGAACCATCTCACCAGCTCCCCACCTTCATCCCCCCCCCCACCCTAGAAAATTTCTGATCAGAACATGATAGAACCTGGCCTGGGCCCTCCACTCACGATCATGCCCTATCATAAACACCATGCTGTCTTGAGCAGGCTGTCCCTCACAACACCGAACGCTTCTGTCCGCTGACACCTGTATGGGGTTACCACAAGGCCAATGTCACTGACAAAGTAGGATTTGGGGCAGAACAGATGCCACTGTAGGCAAAAGAGCCCTGAATTCTCTAAAAGCCAGAGACCACAGGAGGCTTCCATGGTGCTAAAGGATGACCACAAACACATCCCACAGTATTTGTGGCTGAGAGTTGGGTTGCTTCCATGAAAAATGTAGGGGCCATTGACGTGGCCCAGCAGGTAGATGGCTGTCATCATCCTGATAACCTGAATTCGATCCCCAGAACCCACGTGGTGGAAGGATAAAACTGACTTCCACCAGTTGTCCCCTGACATCCACATGTACTATGATACTTAAGGTCCCCCTGCCCCCTCAAAATGTGAAAAAGAACTTGGCTATCTTCATGAGTAGTGAGCTCCCCATCACTGGAAGTGATCAATTTAGGACCCACTGACTATTTCAAGAAATCTGTGAAGGGGATGGCAGATGAATGAGGTCTTATCCGGGCCTGTATGTTACGCACTTGACTCCGAATGAAGAACAAACACAGTTACAAGGGAGAGTATTCGTATTTTATTAACACACATATTAGAAAACTTGTCATTTAAAAATATGGTTGTCTCTAGTCAACATGGACTGAAACCATGTGCCCAAAGGAAACGATACACGAGCTTCTCTGTCTCAGTGCCCAGAAATCACAGCAAGTGGCCCCAGGAGGTCTGAGAACCCTCTGAAGAGCCAGCCCCTGCCTAGCCCGGTCTCAGGAAATTCTTAAGTCCCACACTCCCTGGCCCTTGAAGCTGGACATTTGAGACAGAGCTGTCTCCTCCATTTCCCTCAGGGCTGGCCTGGACTAAGCCTTTTCCTTAAAAACCATCTGCTGGTGCTGGAGTATAGCTCCACGGAACACACGCTTAGGATGTGCAGGGCCACTGGTTCTAGCCCAGGCACCATGGAAAATAATTTGTGGTTTACCTTTGAGGTAAATTCTGCGAAACTAAGAGCATCAAGACAGATGCTTTCTACCTTCAAGAACATGGCTGCTGGGTGTCCATGGTCCAGCGCTCTGACAGGTACATGGGAGAATCTGTTGGAGATGCTAACAGACCCTAGCCCGACATAGTTATTAAGGCGATTTCATTAGCATCGGCCCCTTTGAGCTTCCTGTCAGTAACCCACATTTTACAGGTCGGGGTCACAAGTAGAAAGTGTGTTGCCCAAGGCCACACAGCTGATGGGAAACCAGTCTTTCAGCCAGCACAAACCTTGGCCCAGAACAGGTCTTTGTGCTTTATACTCAATTCACAGCCTCTCAAAACAATTCCATCCCCCTGTGAAGGGTGCGAAACCTGTTTCAGAGACCAGTGAAAGTAATCTAGAGGTAGGTTCGGCCCAAGGAAGTAGGTGAAAAACAAAACAAAACAAAACAAAAAAACAGGCAGCTACTACTGAGAGGAAGACGCCATGTCCACAGTTCAGCCTGGTGGGAGCGCAGACTGACTGCAACACCGCTTCCATTATCTTGGCCAGTCAACGGACTCAGGTGTACCGACTCTGCCGCGTGTACAATGGAATCACTTCCCACCTTCGAGGGATGTAAGGGTCAAGTGTGTGTGCGCAACTACGTGTGACAACACTCGATACAATCGTTAAGAGATGCCGGGCGTGGCCCCTGCAGTGGTGCGCGTGGGAAAAGCTCTTGGTCTTTTGTGAATGAAGGCGATGTAGTATCAAGTATACATCTCCCATGTTAGCTATGTCCTGTCAGGTCGACCTTTGAGCCAATCTCGATAGTTCCCCCTTCTGTGAGTAGATGCCTACTGATCATTCTTTGCCTGGAAGGGTACTTTCCGAACCATTTTTTTGGAAGGAAAGAACACAGATGTTCTTAAAAAGCAGCTGGAATGGCAGCCTCGTAGGTGGTTTTTTTTTGGGGGGGGGGTGGCTTCTCGGTGCAGATAAGCCTGAGGAGTGAGACAGGCAGAGGCCGTTTAAGATGCAAAACTGGCCTGGCTGGCGGCGGCGCACGCCTTTAATCCCAGCACTCGGGAGGCAGAGCCAGGCGGAGCTCTGTGAGTTCGAGGCCAGCCTGGTTTTCAAGAGCGAGCTCCAGGACAGGCTTCAAAGCTACACACAGAGAAATCCTGTCTCGGGGAAAAATTAAAATATATATATAAAAAATAAAAAAGGTGCAAAGCTGTGAACTAGCTTCTGACTGAAGCGTGTTTGAAAAGACTGCCAGGGTAGGCCGCCAAAGAGCAGGCTGGGAAGGCTAAGGAGAAAGGCTTTCCTGTTTTGTTCTTGTACCTCTCAAGAGACCGAGCTAAGTTTCAGGTTGCTCACCCTGGTTTTAGTGTAGAAGATGAAGATGGGAGAGGATGCAGGGCAGGGGACGAGAAACCCTTTCAAGTGCTCTGGATTGAGGTGACCCGGACAATCAATCTTAAGTGGCTGGAGAGCAGTTGGCTCAAATGGGGACCTTTAAGGAGATGAAGTGCCTCTGTTAGGAAACTTTCACTGAAATTTACTGTGTACCTACTGTGTGCCGGGAGGCTCTAGGCGCTGCATGATGGTGTCCCAGACACAGGCAGCGTGGGGTTGCCTGAACGGAGCCTGTGGACTAGCCTGGGAAAGGAAGCATGCTCGCCTAGGGCAACCGGGGGATGCTGATGGCCCCCTCCCAGAGGCGCAGGGCCGGGTAGAGCGGCTCCTGGAAGGCTGCGTGGAAGGTGTGCAAATGGCTCATGCCGCCCGCCACGTCGTAGAAGGCCAGAACGCCGGCTTCGTAGTCCAGGAAGACGCCGAGCCGGTGGGGGTCGCGGCGGGGCCGCAGGCGGCTTCGCTGGCAGTCGTGGAAGGCCCAGTACTCCAGGTCGTAGCGCTTCACGCACCACGACTCGCGGTTGCAGCCCAGGCGGGAGGCGGCGGTGGCCCCGTGGCGCCGCAGCGACGGGTAGGCGGCGCCCACCCACCAGCCCACGCCCGCCTCCTGCACGTCCACCTCCCAGTAGTGGCGTCCGGCTGCGAAGCCGTCGCGGCCCAGCACCTGACGCAGGGCGTCGAATTGTGGCGCGGGGCGCGGCCCCAGGCGGCCCAGCAGCGCGCAGCGGACGGTCAGTCCGTCCGTCGACAGACGCAGGCGGCTGTGCATCGTGTCCGGGTCCAGCGTAGGCGTGCGGGCGTCTGCAGGAGAGAGAGCGGGAGAGACAGCGGTCGGAAGGGTGGGCGGGGCCACGAGCCCGCGAGCCCCGCCCACCCCCTCCCTTTTCCTGTCCTGATCCCCAGCCTGGGGTAGGTACCAAAGCAAGATAGAAGGCTTATTACACGCTCTATAGGGCTTGACTTTGGATTGTGGAATTTATTGCTAATTAAAAAAAATAAATAAATAAGGTAAGCCAGGCGGTGGTGGCGCACGCCTTTAATCCCAGCACTCGGTATGCAGAGGCAGGCAGATCTCTGGTCTACAAAGTGAGTTCCAGGACGGCCAAGGCTACACAGAGAAAACCTGTCTTGAAAAACCAAAACCAACCCTCTCCTCTTCACCCCCCCCAAAACAAACAAACAAACAAAAAAAAACAAAAAACTTACTGCCGAGAAAGGTGGAGCACGCCTTTAATCCCACCACTGGGGAGGCAGAGGCAGCGGTTCTGTGAGTTTGAGGCCAACATAGTGAGGTTTACATAGTATGTTCCAGAACAGCCAGGGCTACACAAAGAGACCCTGTCTCAAAAACGGAAAGAAAGATAGAATATCCCATAACTATTAGGACTCGGTTGCATGTCCCTTTTATCCCTTAACTTTGAGGGTTATGCTTGGTCCTAGTATTGCCATCATGCCACGCATATTCTTAGGCAATCTGCTTTTTAAAATATACTGGCATAGTCTTGAACCATATCAAACGTATTTCAGTGGTGATCCTAGTTTGTGTGTGTGTGTTTAACTTATTTTTTATGGGCCTGAGTATTTTTTTTTTTTTTGGTTTTTCGAGACAGGGTTTCTCTGTGTAGCTTTGCGCCTTTCCTGGAACTCGCTTTGGAGACCAGGCTGGCCTCGAACTCACAGAGATCCGCCTGGCTCTGCCTCCCGAGTGCTGGGATTAAAGGCGTGCGCCACCACCGCCCGGCGGTCCTGAGTATTTTTTAATGTCCATCACAGTGCAACATGTGCAGTACCTGTAGCGGCCTGAAGAGGGCGACAGGTGCCCCGCACTGGCGTTACAGCCTCCGTAGGGGAGCTGGGAACTGACCTTGGTATCCTGCACTAGAGCAGCACGATCTTAAACACTGAGCCATCTCTCCAGACTCTGAGGCTGGCTTTTTCTAGGCTAAAGAGTTAGAAGCTGGAACAGTAGCCGTCCTTTTGGCTTAGTAAATGAGGAGTCATGAGGAAGACTTCTAGAAGTTTCAACTTCTCGGTCTGAGGGAGGTGAAGTAACGTTTCCTTTTTCAGGAAATTTCCTTTGGGTGCATTTTATTTTTCAAACGTTTCTTTTAAAAATATGTGCTCAGTGATTCCGTTTTGAGAAATTACTCCTGAAGATATGCAGAAAATAAGGCATATTTATCCACTCATTCACTAATTGAACAGAAAATTGATGGTTTAGAGGTAGGTCCAGCTGATTTAAGTTTGAAACTCACTTGGGCTACAGAGTGAAACCCTGTTTCAAAAATGAACAAACAGAATAATGAAGATAAAGAAGAGAGTAGAATGTAACAGCAGCTTTAAATAGGGTTATTGTGAGCATAAGTAATGAGTAAAAACTGCTTGTCTTGATGAAAATTAATGTCTGTTGATGTGATACTCGGTGGCCTTTGAAAGAGCATTATTGAAATGGAGCATGGTTGCTATACTGTCACATAAAGTTACAAAAGGTTGTAACTTGGTGCTACTTTAAAATACCTGACACAATTTTTAGTTTTTTGTTTTTGTTTTTCTTTTTTTGGTTTTTCCAGACAGGGTTTCTCTGTGTAGCCCTGGCTGTCCTGGAACTCACTCTGTAGACCAGGTTGGCCTTGAACTCAGAGATCTGCCTGCTTCTGCCTCCCAAGTGAGTTCTGGGACTGAAGGTGTGCGCTACCACTGCCTGGCAACACAGTGTTTTTAAATGTCTGAAGAAGCAATCTGACAGAAGTTATCCTGGGTAAGATGGCTGTTTTCTTTTTGTTTGTAATTTCTGATTTTCTTTACAATGCGTGCACTACACATATAATTTCCTTGTCTTCCTCTTTACCTCTCTTTCCTCCTTCTTTCTCTCACTTGTGATGCTGGGAATTAAACCCAGGTGTGCCATTCCAGGCCAGCATTCCATCACTGAGATTTCTCTACCCCTACTTCTGTAAATTTTTAGGGGAACAAATAAGAGATGATTCACAATTTTCCAGTAAATGAAAATAGATTATAAAACAGTATGTATAGGGGCTGGATGGAGACATGGCTCACAAGTTAAGAGCACTGGCTGCTCTTCCAGAGGTCCTGAGTTCAATTTCCAGCATCCACAAAAACCCATCTATAATGAGATCTAGTGCCCTCTTCTGGCATGCAGGCGTACATACAGGCAGAACACTGTACTGTATGCATAATAAATAAATCTTAAAAAAAAACAGTATGTATAGCATGATACCATGTTGTATATATTCTAGCTATGTGAAATAATAATAATAATAATAATATCACTTTGTTTTACTTTATTTTTATTTTTTGGTTTTTCGAGATAGGGTTTCTCTGTGTAGCTTTTGGAGCCTTTCCTGGAACTTGCTCTGTAAACCATGCTGGCCTTGAACTCACAGAAATCCACCTGCCTCTGGTCCTGAGTGCTGGGATTAAAGGCATGCGCCACCACCGCCCGGCCTGCTTTGATATTTTAATAGGTACCTCAGTTAGCCATCTGAACCAAATTTGAGATTTAACACCTACTCTATAGTCAAGGCTAGCCTAGAATTTGAGATCTTCCTTCCTGAGCCTCTGAGTACTGGGATTAGAAATTGTACGGACACCGGGCCTTGGTGGTTTATACCTTTAATCCCAGCACTTGGGAGGCAGAGGCAGGTGGATCTTGAGTTCAAGGTCAGCCTGGTCTACAAAGTAAATTCCAGGACAGCCAGGGCTGTTACACAGAAAAACCTTGTCTTGAAAAACCAAAAAAAAAAAAAAAAAAAAAAGTATGGAACCACACCCAGCAGTAATGTTTTCAAAACCTTGTTTGGAAAGGAGTCTCCTAACAGGAAGTGGGGGGGGGGCTCATTTCCTGTCCCTCCTCCACCTTTGCTCCTCACCCAACCCCCTTCCCCCACTCCCGGGTCTTACATTTCAAGAAGAGTGATCTCTCTGGTGAAGAGCTGGTTTTCCACAAGGCGCCCGGCTTGGTGCTGGAGGAGCCCGAAAGCTGGCAGTTTATGTCTGTAAGGAATCGTGAGATGTGAACTCCCGGGGCTCCTGCAGGCAGCACAGACAAACACGCAAAGCGGGACAGAGCGGGAGCCTTGCAAGTGACCCCCAAGAATCACGTGCAAACTTAGAAAAAGATACAAACTTTGGAGGGGGGAGACCCCCAACACAACAGCTACTCATTGGTAGCAGGGGCCAGCCTCAGCTCTCAGCACTGGAGGACAGGAGGCAGCCTTCCCCAAAGCAGTGCTGAGTTTGGAGGAAGGTGAACAGCAGGAAGCCTAAAGTGTGTGTGTGTGTGTGTGTGTGTGTGTGTGTGTGTGTGTGTGTGTGTGTGTGTACTGGAGTGTAGGCAGGGAACAAAGCCGTGGATCAGCTGTTAGGGTGCTTCATCTTCCTGCAGAGGGTCTAAGTTCAGTTCCCAGAACCGTATTGGGTGGCTCACGACCACCTATAACTCCAGTTCCAGGAGACCACACGCCCCCTCTCCCCGCCTCAGGTGATGCACTCATGTGCACATCCCCACACACAGACAGGCAGATACATGAATCATTCAAAAAGAAAGAAAGCCTGACTGACTTGAATGCTCAATAGCACTGTAATTACCTGTCATTGGAGGGGGGCTTTGTATGCCCCTTCCTCCCAAGGATCTATAGCTAATTAACGGTTGTTGGGGACAGAGACATTTTCCTCAGTGGCACAGCCTTTGGCAAATGCCTATACTCCAATAAATAACTTCTCACCGATGCTCCTGTAAATAGCTCTAACTAAACTCATTGGTATACACACACACACACACACACACACACACACACACACACACACACACACACACGCACGAGCACGCGCGCGCACACACACACACACACACACACACACACACACGAAAGCAGAAGGGAGAACTAGTTAGGCAGAGGAAGAGAATCATTAGGAATGGAAGGGGGCAAGAGAGGGTAATGGGGGACTGCAGAGATGGCTCGGCCATAAGAGCCCTGGCTGTGGACCTGAGTCTGATTCCCAGCACCCACAAGTTGGTTCACAACCGTCTGTTCCAGAGGATCTTATGCCCTCTTTTGACTCTCGGGCACTGTGTGCATGCACAGTCAAGCATTCAGGCAAAGCACCCCTACATATAAAATAAAAAATAAATCTTAAAAAGAGAGAGAGAGGGAAATGGGAGAGAATGTGGCCAAAATATGTGCATGTGTGAAAATGTTGTAATGAAACCTATTTTTATGTATAATTAATATACGCTACTAATAAAGCATTCAAAAGGGTAAAGTTGATCACACACACAGAGCCCCGCTAAGCCTGCAGAGAGGTCCAGTTCTCAGAAGAGCGAAGGCGGGCCGTTGTTCCAGCAAGAGGACCCCTTAGGAAACACCTCCTTGGGGACCCCTGCCTGGGTCTTGTCCACAAGGCCTCCCTCATCACCGGGGCAAAGGCCTCACCCCTCTCAGAATGATGGAGTCAGTCGTGTGAGATCTGCACCAGGGAGCTCAACCATCTCACGGGCTCTCTCTCCCCCCACTCTAGAAAACTTCCCCCTGCCTGCCACTCTCAAAGCCCTGAGCTTCTTATTCTGGTGACTTTTTGTCACATTGACACAAGATAGAGTTATCCAGGAAGAGGAGCCTCAGCTGAGAAAATGCCACCATCAGACTGGCCTGTAGAGAAGTTTGTAGGACATTTCCTTTTTCCCTTTCTCTCTCTCTGTTTTTTTGTGACAGAGTTTTCCTGTGTATCCCTCTCTCTCTCTTTGTTTTTTTGAGACAGGGTTTTTCTGTGTATCCCTGGCTGTCCTAGAACTTGCCAGGTAGAGCAGGCTGGCCTGGAACTCACAGGGCTCTGTCTGCCTCTGCCCCTCACACGCACACACCAAGTGCTGAGATTGAAGGTGTGTGCCACCAAGCCTGGTACTGGAGGACATGATTGATGTGGAAGCACCCAGGCCACGGTGGGTGATGCTACCCTTGGGCAGGTCGACCTGGGTGGCATAAGAAAGCAGGCTGAGCAAGAAATGTGGAGCAAGGTGGCAGAGGTGAGGTGACAGAGGGGAGTGAGCTGGAGTCGGTAGAAAGGCCTCTGGTGTGTGTACAGCCATGTCAGTCACCTGCAGGGATGGTGCCTGCCCTGGGCACAAGAGGAAGGGTAAGAGCCAGCAAGGTATTGGTGTGAGCAGACCCTGGAAGTGGTGGCTGGAGAGCAGCAAGCGGGCCACCGGCTCAGGAAAGGCAGAGGTGGCGTCCCTTGTTAAGGATGAGTTGGAATGGGGTGCGGTGGCACACACCTGCAATCTCCTTGGGAGACTGAGTCAGGAGGATTGAAAAGCCAAGGCCAGCCTGTGCAACTTGACTCTCTCAAAATAAAAAGAGAGCTGAAGATGTACCTCAGTGGCAGAGTGCTTGCTTAGCATGCTCGAGACCCTAGGTTCCATTCCAAGTATTGGAGGTGGGGTGGGGTGTGCACTAAGCCAGGAGCCCCTAACTGCCCAGCCAGGGCATCATCATGTGGGGAAGCCACGACTTAAGTTGTTCGCTGCCTCTGCTTCTCTGGTTTATGACTGTCAAGTTGCTGGGGCTGAAGTCATCATGAAACAAATCTCTGGGGAGATCTTCGGGAGAGTCCCTAGATGGGGAGGGGCCATCGTAGGAAACGATACTCCATGGGCTGGGGTCCCACACTGGATAGAAAGGCGAGAGCAAGCCAAGCACCAGCACCCATCTCCCTCTGCTTCCTGGTTGCAGATGCAATGTGACCAGCTGCCTCCAGCTCCTGCCACCCTGAGTCCCTCGCCATGACAGGCTACAGGGAGTAAGGACTCGAAGTCCGTCATTAGGCAACTCACTTTCCTTCAGGCGAGTGTCCATTGGTGTCTGTAAAGTGTCCTGGATGGCTCCCATAAACTCCTTAAAGAAGTTCTTGACGGGCTCGAAGGACAGGGGCACCGGGTGGCTCAGCTCCGAGGGCCTCATCTGCTGTCCCATCTCTGACTTAGTGGCTATATATGCCTGTATAGACGGGCACAGGGTCAAGATGGCTCCAGGGGCTGCAAGCTGCGTCTAGCCTCTACTGCACACCCAAGAGGAAACGCAGCAAGTCGGGACCCATTCTGCCTGGCCAGCGTGGTCAGGATGAGCTGTACCACAGAGCAGTGCCCTGGGGAGACTGTGCAGCAGCCTGAGATAGGAGGTAAATTGTAGCTAGAGTTTTCCAGTCCTGCCTGGCCCACGGTCAGGACAAATCTCTCTCACCCTCCAGTCCCGCAGCTGCTCAGATCCAACCAAGTAAACACACAGAGACTTTATATTGCTTACAAACTGTAAGGCCATGGCAGGCTTCTTGTTATCTAGTTCTTCTATCTTAATTTAACCCATTTCTATAAACCTATACCTTGCCATGTGGCTCGTGGCTTACCAGTATCTTACATCATGCTTCTCCTCGTGGTGGCTGGCAGTGACTCTTTGCCTCAGCCTTCCACTCCCCAGAATTCTCCTCTCTCCTTGTCCTGCTTATACTTCCTGCCTGGCTACTGGCCAATCAGCACTTTATTTATACAGAGCGATATCCACAGCACTTCTCCTTTCCTTTTTTTTTTTTTTTCAAAAAAGAAGGTTTTAATTTTCACATAGTAAAATTATAGATAACAAAACAATTATCAAGCAAGAATTACGGTTACAGTAAATGGAGCTGCTGGTACTCCTTCCCCTTCCCCCTCCTTTCCCCTCTCTTCCCCTCTCCTCCCCTTTCCCTTCCCTTCCCACGGGGTCCCTAGGAGGGCCTGAGCAAGGAGGATAACCAGGCCATGGCATTAAAGTCCAGGCCACTGTGAGGGTCAGCCTCAGTGCAGATGCACTCAATTTTTGCAGACCTGGGTTCCATTCTGTTTTATCTTGTATTGTTGAGACAGGGTTTTATTGAGCCTAGGCTTACCTTGAACTCCTGACCCTCGTACCTCTACCTCCAAGATGCTGGGATTATAGGCATATTTCAAAGTCCCTGACCAGGCCCAGGTTCTGATCCTACCAGAGTGTGAGTTCTAGTGAGTCCTACTTCCTTTAGCCCCACATTTCACCTCCCAGAAGCTGTACTACAGATCTCTAGTAAATATTTGAGCTATGATTCATGTGTTGGTTGAACAAGAATGGCCCCCATAGGCTCATATATTTGAATACTTGGTCATCAAGGAGTGGTACTACTTGAGAGGGATTAGGAGGTGTGGCCTTGTTGGAGTGGGTGTGGCCTTGTTGGAGGAAGTGTGTCACTGAGGTGAGCTTTGAGGTTTCAGATGCTCAAGCAGGGCCCAGTGTGTCTCATAGTCTCTTTCTGCTGCCTTTGGATACGGATGTAGAACTCTCAGCTACTTCTCCAGCACCATGTCTGCCTGCATGCTGCCATGCTTCCTGCCATGATGACAATGGACTGAGCCTCTGAAACTGTTAGCCAGCCCCAGTTAAATGTTTTCCTTTATAAGAGTTGCCACACACACACCTTTAATCTTAGCACTCAGTGGGCAGAGGCAGGTGGAGCTCTGTGTGTTAGAGGCCAATCTGATCTACAGAGCTAGTTCCAGAACAACCAGGGCTACAAAAACAAACAAACAAACAAACAAACAAACAGACAAACAAAAAGAGTTGCCATGGTCATTGTGTCTCTTCATAGCAATAAAACACTGACTAAGATAATTCACAAAGTGCTTGCAATTTGGGGGCCCTGGGAAATGATACTGTTAGGACTATTTATAGTTCAAGATATATATTAATTATCTTAATAGTGTATACTCCCTGACCACCTGTGTGGTGGCAATAAAGTCTACACACTAGCCAGGGAAACCCCTGTGCAGTTCCCCGGCGTGTAAAGACCATGTTCGACGCCACAGTGACCCAGGTGCATTATGGGTAGCCGGTGGCAGCTGTAAGATCAGAAAGCCCAGCTATACCTGCAGCAGCTGGACTGGGTTGGGCTCCAGGCTGATGACCCACACCCTGGTAGAGAAATCATCCATGGCCTCAATTTGCTTCCTGCAAGACTCTGCTTGCTCCCTGTACACCTGGAGGGTGAGCTGTGTGTTCTTATCGATGAATTTTTTGGCCAGTACTTCCTCTTCATCAAGGAGTAATCTGAGTTCTGTGAACTTCTGTGTCAGCCAATCTTTACTTGAGTCTGCATAAGCCTTAAAGGGAAAAAAAATCAACTGTAGACAATACACTTGCCAATCAGGAAGTCTAGAACCGAAAATATCTACAGAGTGAGTCTAGCAAGGTGGCCTGTCAAACCAAGAGGCCACGCATAAAAAATAAAGTTTTCCTAAGCACTGGCAAATAGTTTTGAGACAGGGTTTCCCTGTGTAGCCCTGGCTGTCCTGGAACTCACTATGTAGACCAGGCCTTGAACTTATAGATAGTCATCTGCTTCTGCCTCCTGAGTGCTGGGATCAAAGGTGTGCGCCACCACATCCAGCTGAAGAGCCTTTCCCCCGCCCTCCTTCCTTCCTTCTTCCCTCTTTTCCCTCTTCCTCCTTTTTTTTTTTTTGTTAAAAAATGTCTGCCGGGCGGTGGTGGCGCACGCCTTTAATCCCAGCACTCGGGAGGCAGAGCCAGGTGGATCTCTGTGAGTTCGAGGCCAGCCTGGTCTACAAAGTGAGTTCCAGGAAAGGCGCAAAGCTACACAGAGAAACCCTGCCTCGAAAAACCAAAAAAAAAAAAAAAAAAAAATGTCTTTCTAGGGGCTGGAGAGATGGCTCAGTGGTTAAGAGCACTGACTGTTCTTCCAGAGGACCCAGGTTCAATTCCCAGCACTCATATGACAGCTCACAACTGTCTGTAACTCCAGTTCCGGGGGACCTCACACAGACATATAGGCAAGCCAAATACTAATGCACATCAAATAAAAATAAATTTAAAAAAAATGTCTTTCTTTGCAGCCCAGGCGACCTCTAACTCCTAATTCTTCGACATCAGCTTCCTTCATGAGTGTTATGATTGCAGGTATGTACTGTCATATCTAGCTTAAAGTTCCTCTGCGAGCTGGGCATTTAGCACAGTTGGTTGAGAGCTTGCCAAATATGCAGCATGCCTTGGGGACACAGGATATGGTGGTGCACCCCAAAGATGGAGGATAGAAGATCAGAACTCAAGGTCATCATCAACTACATGGGTAGTTCAAGGCCAGCATGGTTATGTGGGATCTTGTCTAATAAAGCAAAAATAAAAACAAAATCTTTGGAGATGATATGGGAGGACCTGAGGGAGAGGAAAGAATTTGATCAAAATATATTGTATGAAAAAAATAAAAAATGGCCGGGGCAATGGTGGCACACACCTTTAAACCCAGCACTGGGGAGGCAGAGCCAGGCAGATCTCTGTGAGTTCAAGGCTAACCTGGTCTACACAGCGAGATCCAGGACAGGCACCAAAACTACACAGAGAAACCCTGTCTCAAAATACCAAAAAAAAAAAAAAAAAAAAAGGATAGCAAAATGTCTAAAAATAAACATAGCAAAGAGTGCATAAGTGCTTGGAGTGTAGCTCAGCGGTGGAGAGCTTGCCTAGCATGCAGGAGGCCCTGGGTTTGATCCCCAGCACCTAAGTTAAAGTATAAAATTACACCGAGAGACACAAAAAGCCTTAACTACTGCTTCCTCTTATGGGGACTAAGCGGAAAATGTATTCACCTGTACAAAAGACTTCTGTACTCAGCCTCGGAGCAAGCATTTATACATAGAGGATAGTTGGGTTCAGTTTTCTGTATCACACACTCAAGTTTGCTAATTATATAAATCATGTTGTAATCATACAATACAAAATGCATATCAATTAAAAAGAATGCTTTGATACGTACTACAGCATAGATGAACCATGAAGACACAACCCCAAGTGAAATAAGCCAGATTAAAAATCACGACTGCCTTTATGAGAAATATCTAGAAACAAGCCAACACAGTGACAGGAAGTAGAGAAGAGGTCACCAGAGGCTAAGAAGGGGACTGGGTGGGGACTGCTTAATGTCTTCTGCTTCCTTTCTTTCTTTTTCTTTCTTTCTTTCTTTCTTTCTTTCTTTCTTTCTCTCTCTCTCTCTCTCTCTCTCTCTCTCTCCCTCCCTCCCTCCCTCCCTCCCTCCCTCCCTCCCTCCCTCCCTCCCTCCCTCCCTTCCTTTCTTTTCTTTTTTTTTTTTGAGACAAGGTTTCTCTGCTTAGCCCTGGCTGTCCTGGAACTCTTTAGACCAGGCTGGCCTCAGACTCATAGGTCTGCCTGCTTTTGCCGCCTGAGTGCTGGGATTAAAGGTGTGCGCCACCATAGCCTGGTCTTTTTTTTTTTTTAGTTGATTTTTAAAAAAATTATGGCATGTGTATGTCTATGTGTGGGTATGTACTCACGAGTCTGAACACAGGTCGGGGACAAAGACATCAGATTTCCTGGAGCTACAGGTGGCTGTGAGCCACCTGGCCCAGGAGTTGGGAACAGAACTCAGGTCACCTGCCACTGAGCCATGTCTCCTGCTCTGTTTTCAGTCTCTATTGTTTTTGTTGTTGTTGCTAGGTGGGGTTCTTTGTTTTCAATAGGATATGTCCCCTTGGCTGGCCTGGTGCTCGCTCTATACCCCAGGCTGGCCTTGAACTCACAGCTCTCCTCCTGCCTTTGTAACAGAGCCCCCAGACCTTAGCACAACTGACTCCATGATGGAAGTGCCTTTCAGGTCATGAAACTCGGCACATAGACAGCACCACCTGATAAAAAGAAAACAAGGGGTTGGGGATTTAGCTCAGTGGTAGAGCGCTTGCCTAGCAAGCACAAGGTCCTGGGTTCTATCCTCAGCTCAAAAAAAAAAAAAAAAAGAAAGAAAGAAAGAAAACAAAGCCTGATCCATCAAAGTCCACAGTTCTGGGAAAGTCTCCAAATGTGCTAACCTGCTTTGTAGCTTCTGAAGTTCTACTTCTGGCTAACTGTTCTTGTTAAATGAAGTATGTCAACCCAGAATAAAAGCTCACCCCAAGAAAGGGTTGGGGCTACACAGGGATCCCAAACACCCAGTGTAGTCACTGGCTGGTCAATAAAGACTTTCTATTGAGTCAGGCGGTGGTGGCACACGCCTTTAATTCCAGCTCTCAGGAGGCAGAGCCAGGTGGCTCTCTGTGAGTTCGAGGCCAGCCTGGGCTACAGAGTGAGTTCCAGGAAAGGTGCAAAGCTACACAGAGAAACCCTGTCTCGAAAAACCAAAAAAAAAAAGAAAACAAAAAGACTTCCTATTGGTTTAAACACACGTCTGAGCAGTCTTCTCTGGTGGACACCCCACAGCACCTCAGTCTACCACATGCTGAGACTGAGATTGCAGGCTGTGATGCCACACCCAGCCGGAATGGCTATTTGAGATCACGAACAAGTTCTGGAAATAGATAATGGTCATGTCTGCACACAAGGCAAATGTAGGTCATGCCCCAGAAAGGGCACTTGAAGAGTCAGCATTATGTATGTATATTTGACACTATAAAAGGGCATTGGGGCTAAAGAGACCAGAGGACCTGAGTTCGATTCCCATCACCCACAAGATGGCTCACAGCCCCTTGTAACTCTGCTTCCAGGGGATCTGTCACCCACTTCCAGCCTCCATGGACACCAGGCACACATGTGGTGCACAGCTACACATGCAGACAAAACACCATACAATAGAATACAATTTTAAAGTAAAAAAACGAGAATGCCTTCCTATCTTTACTTACACACGAAGAAAGCAGAAAACGTCTGGAAAAATGAAGTCTAAAAACTGGAGCTTCTCCTTCCCTCATCCAGACTTTTGTGCGGCCCACACAGCAGAGTGGGTCCTGTAAGGACCAAGCTTCCCCATGGCGCTGGGTTGTTTGTTTTTCCAGTGCTAGGGTTGAGCCTTGCAGAGGCCAGGCCAGCCCTTAGCTACTGAGATGCACACCTCCACCCCTTTTTTTTAAAGACAAGGTCACCCTTATGTAGCCCAGGCTGGTCTCAAACACAGATCCTCTTGCCACTGCCTCCCAAGTGGGAGGATTACAGGCCAGTGCCATTATCCATGTCCCCATGTGCTCTCTTGACAGGACAACTATGGTCTGGCAAGGGATGGGAAGTGAGTTTCTGTGTGTCTCCTACAGAAGGCTTTAAGCAGTCACTAGGTTCTGGGGCCAGCTTGAGAGCCCAGGGCCTTATCTGTAACGTGGCTGCAAAGGGTCAGTGCACCTGGCTTCTGATGTATCTGTGATGAATGATCAAGGGAAGGGAAGAAAATACGTTCCTGTCCACAGTCAAACCACACTGAATGGGACTGAGTCAGTGTGATCTCAGAAAGGAGGCCGCTTGGCCTGGTTGGTACATGGATAGAAGGATGCATGTCCCAAAGCCTTGAGTGATGGAGATGTGTTAGAGGCAACAGAGTGAACCAGGCAGGCTCCTGGAGAGACACCAACAGGATTCACTGTTCCTTCCCACTGAGCTGTGTTCCAAGATCCCGAAGATCCATTTTGTCACAAAGACTATCTCAAATAATGACACTGCACTCCCCTGTATCTGTGGGGGCAGGAGGAGCTGCTGAAGGATCAGCAGAGAAGGTGCTCCCAGGAAAGGACAGGGTGCAGAGTGGTAGGGGATGCAGGAGTGGGGTAGGCAGAGAGAAAGAAGGAAGGGGGAGGAGGAGAGGAGAGGGAGATGGGAGAGGAAGTAGAGAGACAGACTGAGGGAAAGGGAAGGAGAGGGAGAGGGGGAGGAGGCAGACACACAGAGAGGAAAACCAGGAAGTTGGCTGTCATGCCCTGGAGTCAAAGTAAAACTGTGTCCCACACTGAACTTCAGAGTTTGGAGCTGGCCTGGGTGGGCTAGTGGAGGATGAGCCCCTGCGGAACCTAGTGGAGAAATGCCTAAGGACGACCAGCAAGAAAGGACCTGACCAGCCAGGAAGCCCTGTTCAGGGAGCCCGAGGGATTTAGTGCTTGGGAGGATAGCTGCTATGTGACCCCATCTTCCTTCCAGAGGCAGGGGGTGGGGTGGGAGTGGGGGATGGGGCTTTGAGGAGAAGGGGGCTTTGAGCCAGGAGCTGCTTCCTGCACACGGGGCATGACTGGACAACCCCACTGGGGGTTTTTGGGGTGGTGCAGCCAGGGTGTGAGATAAGCCCTCCTCCAATCCTTCCCAGGACATTTTAGTTATAGCGGCC